CGATTCTGTATGGAAACCTAAGTAGCGGAACATTATTTTTAGATATAGTAATCTTTTTATTATCGTAGAATTAACTCTGACGTAAAAATAAGACGTGCTGTAATAATCGCACTTCCGTTTTGTTCGAGCGTATAAAGACTTACTGTAAGCTTTCTTTTTCCCGTCTACGCTTTTTGTTTTTTTTTTCTGAGAACCGACCGTGTTTTTTTTCTTAAAGATTATAATAAATTATAACTACACGATGTATTGCTAATAATGATGCTAAATATAAGAGAAATGTGATAACATGTATTTGTGAAATTCACAAGAAAAAAAACGAAAAAAATATTTACCAAATTTGTTAGCAAATACAGTTGTTTAGCAAATACTTACGCAAAGTATGCATTGTACATTTTCCATTAAAGAAAATAAGAACAGATTAAAACAGACATAAAGTTTATTTTCCTCTTAATCTCTGCAGCACACAAAATTATATACACTATTTTCGAATTGATTCCAGCAGGGATCCATTTCATGTTCATATAGAATATACATCCGTACATTCTAATATGTGCTCTGTATGGCTATCTGTAATGTATTAAGAAACATCCATCGAAATATTTATGTGACATACATAGGATGCATATGTATATTCTATGGACATGAAATGGATCTATCCTAGTCAGTTCGAAGATACAGTGTATATAAAATGGATATTAATTTCCACTGTATATCCATTGTATGTTCAAGTTGATTCCATCAGAAAATCATTTCATGTCCATAGAACATACATCCGCACATCATATGTATATCCTATGGATATATTCCCATGGATGTATCTTAATATATTACGAATATCTATACGCTGTACATAGTACATACATCCGTACATCCTATGTACAGCATATAGATATTCGTAATGTATTAAAATACATCTATGGGAACATATCCATGGGACATACATAGGATGTGCGGATGTATATTCTATGGACATGAACTGACTCTATGATAGAGACAATTCAATGATACATTAGATATACAATGGATACTAATTTAATGCAAGTGGAAATCCATTGAATATCCATCATCCTTTCATGTATATACATTGTATATGCAATATATATTTTTGTGCTATCTGGGTAGGACATTGGAAACTATTTCTTTTGATAACGGCGAGATGTATTATTTTGCCATTGAAAAAGGTTTGACGTATAAATTACATAATGGTGGATTGAATGGCGAAATATTAACTATCAAATTAATTATAAATATTGACGGTTTACCACTATTCAAGAGCAGTAGAACTGACTTGTGGCCAATTTTAGGTCGTAGTAATGATACTGTAGATTCACGTCCATTCATGATTGCTTGTTTTTGTGGCGAAGGAAAACCGATAAATCTTGAAAAATATTTAGAACTTTTTAACGAAGAAATAATTTTCTTTCGAAAAAACGGGTTTCAATATAACGGAAAAATATATTATGGTGAAATTGAATGTTTTGCGGCTGATGCACCCGCAAGAGCTATGCTAAAAATGATTAAAGGGCATACGAGCATGTACGGATGCGAAAGGTGTACTATTAAAAAAGTAAAAAAACAAATTTTTTTTCCAGCTAAAATAAATAAATCGGTTACCTTGAGAACAAAATATGACTTCTTAGATGAGAAGACAAATAATAATAATCATTTGAAAGGAAAGTCGCCATTACTTGCTTTAAATATAGACCCCGTGAAACAATTTATATTGGATCCCATGCATATGATATACCTAGGTATTATGAAATGTATCTTTGTGAAGTATTGGGTAGAAGGAAGGCGTCACTGTAAACTCTCTCGACAAAGTCTTGCAGCAATTGATTATAATATACGGAAAATATGTCCATTCGTCACATCTGATTTTTGTCGAAAACCTCGAGCTTTAGTAAACTTAAAAAATTTTAAAGCGACTGAGTTCCGGTTTATTGTTTTATATAGCGGTGTAATTATTTTCTACAATGTTCTTCATAACGTAAAATATCGACATTTTTTATTACTTCATATAGCAATTACTATTTTATCTAGTGCATCTTTGATCGAGACTTACCTACACGTAGCTGAAGAAGCTATTAGAAAATTTGTTCTCAAAGCTCCTAGAATATATGGTGAGGATTTCGTTGTGTATAATGTACATTCATTACTACACCTTTGTGCGGATGTACAAACGTATGGTCCGATAGAAAGATACGGTTGTTTCCCTTTCGAAAATTATCTTCAATCTCTAAAAAGACGAATTCGCTCTAAAAAATTACCTTTGCAACAAGTATGCAACCGAATTGCAGAAGAAGAGAATATCGATGTCGAAATTAAATCTTCTATCACTCCAGCTTATGTTCCTAAGCAATTTTGTTTCCCTAATCCAAATATTACTGATCATTTTACATGCGAAAAGCTAATTTATAAAAATATGAAATTATCAATTAAACTTCCCGATAATACTGTAGAAGTAGATAATCAAATTTATGTTATCAAAGAGATTATTTTCATTGAGGGCAAATACAAATGTATAGGAACTACATTTAAATACGTCGATAATTTGTATCGATACCCAATACACTCATCTAAACTGGGAATTTATCATATAAAAAGTATCGACATTAATACTTCTACTACATTTTTTATTGAGGACATATCCCACAAATGTCTCCGATTACCATTTAAAAATGATTTTACAGTTTTTCCCATAATTCACCATGTAGCTTAATAATTTGTATCAAGCTATTTGGTGGAACTGCTATTACGTTTTTTTATTTGTAATAAAGCGATATATTAATATTATTTACAGTAAGATACGTATAATAAAAGAAAATTATATAAGTAAGGAATTTTTTTATATTAAAATCGAGAATTGTTGATTGTGCAGAGCTTAATTTAAGGAGATTTTATAGATAATTCAAAATAATAAAAGGATTTATGAAACTTATAAATTATAAAATTACTTATAAATAATGAAAATAATAAAAAGTATTATGAAAATTTACAGATTATTCTAGATTTTATTTAAAAGTAACACAGTAAATTTAGTGACGGTTTATCATCTGGACCGACAGTTATTTTAATTCTTTACGCCATGATGAAACTTTCAGAATCCCACCTTTTTCAACTCAAGTTTTAATTATTTTTCACAATAACTTTCATATATACATAGTTTGTTTAAAATGTAAATATTAATATCTGTGCTATAATGTCTATTGAACCTCCTTAAAAAATCCACTAATTAGGCGCTAGAAATAATGTTATAAATGATCATCAGAGCTGTTAATATTTCAGCACAGAGCAAACATTTTCATTATAAATAAACGCGGAGATACAACATGTTTATTAGTATTTATCAAATAATATAAAGGAAAATAATGAAAATATTTGAAGAATTTAATTTTTGAATAGTTGACGAAAAAAGTCAAAACGTCAAAGTAATAACATATTATTGCATATAAAAAGGAATTTGAATCATGTCTTCAAACGTAAACAAAAAAAAAACTTATGGCCTTGTGGAGTTCTTAAGTGGCAAAAAGAAAGAGTGAACCATTGATGTGGCTGAACGAACGGAAGAAATGTTATTGGCCAAAGACCAAATCTCAGAAAATTTTTGACGAATTGGTATTGGATAATGCACCATATGATTCTACATGGATGAAATATAAAGTTCATCGAGTATTAAAAGTTTCAGGTGAGAATTATTTTAAAGGAGAAAAATATAGGTTTAATATATCTTTGTTTTAATTTATATACTAGTTCTTTATATTCATTTTTATTTTTGTAACATATACAACCGGAATAATTGTTTGAGTTATTGTGGTTCCTTTTACAGAATCTAAATATTCTTTATTCTTTTGTAGTTTGTTTCTTTATGATATAGTATTCAGTATATTAGATAAAATGTTAAATAACAAGTTAAATTACGTTTATTTACTACAATTATAATTAAAAATATACCTTAATTGCTTACTAATGTATAATAATTTAACACATACTTGCTGATGTGCTTTGTTGTTCTTTATAATTCTAATATGATTAATTAAGATTTTATGAAGAAATTAAAAATCAATAATGCAGCATCAGAAAAGAAAATGTATTTATTTTGTTTATTCTTTGAAGCAATGTAAAATTAAATAACATTTGGAATTTTTATAATTTATGACTTTAACTTTAACCGACACTTTTCTGTTTAAAACTATTCATACAAAAATATTAGGTACATTTTTTATTTTATATACGGGTGTCCGAAATGTTCCAGGATGGCTGAATATCTTGGAAAATATACATTTTTGAGAAAATTGTTTTCTCACAAGTAAGAATATTCGAGCCTATAGCATCTGTAAATCCGGAAAACCAATTCGGCGCGTAGTTTGAATAGCTACAGATATGGTATATATGCATGTATATATATAGTATACATATAATTCACATTGAATTATTTAAGCATTAAAGATCTAGCTTCGATCATTATAGGCTTGAGTATTCTTACTTAGTATTTATTACATTACAGTCTTAATAAAATCATTTATTACAAGTTGTAAGGTTTAAAAAGATTTTATCAGTTTGATCTTGGGTAACGTCGCCAAAATCAGGATTACAATGTCAAATTGATAAGATGATTAAATAGACTTTTCTAAATACTATAATACAATTTTTATCTAAAATATTTTTATCAAAAATGTATACTTTCCGATATAATTTATTTAACATTCAAAAACTTATTTTTATTAGGGATGAACTAATAAAGCAATTAATATTATATTATTGTACATTCTTAATGGATGTACTTGAATCTATATATTTTTTGATAATGTGTTTGAATATTTCATTCTAGATGACTATGATGGTATTATGAAGTATATGAATATTATTTTGGAACATGAATCAACAGAAGATGATGGATTGAATTCTGTTGATATTTCACAAAAAAAATTGAATCATCTGCTAATCAAGAAGAAGAGGATATATCTGACTCTTATTATAATTTATCTGACTCTTCCAAAAGAATGTTTACCGAAATTAAACGTAAAAGTCAAAATAATATGCAAAAAGATTTTGATCATGAAGAATCTGAATCTTCTAATTCAAACAGCTCAGATAATAAGATTGACGATTCTAAAGAATACGATTCGAGTTCTAGCGAAAAGAATGTTAATAAAGAAAGCTTCAAAAATAATACTTCATCTATTTTATGTACAAACAAAAATATTTCTAAAGGAAATAAATGTCAAAATCAATCGTCAAATGTTAGCAGATATAATGATGGAATTACAGCACGTTCTGACAGTTAGTATACTTAAATGAATTTTTAACCATTGAAAAATATTAATTATTCTATCATTTAAAATTTAATTTATCATTGTATGTACATATATTAAAATATTTAATTATATTAATTATATATTATACTTAATTATATTAATAACATAAATCATATTAATACGTTTTTAAAAATATACTTACATATTTTATGCTAATTCTAAAATATGAAATATTTATGATTTTTAAAACAGAATATCGTTGAATTGTATATACAGTCCACTTTATGAGTTTTGATTAATCAAGTGTTATATTTGTTGTATTATTTTTTAATATAAATTGCTAATGACATAATATGCAATTAAGTTTAAGTAAATATATATGTGAAAATATATATGTGCGAATAACTTTTAAATATGTAACTTTTAAATATGTATTTATTAAATATGTAATCTGATGTATTATTTTGTAGATTCGTCAAAAAATATGCAAAATATTGATCTTGAATATGACCGAGACACTGCCGTGTCTCCTAATATGAATCGATGTTCATCACCAAGATTGGAAGTAGGTGCAAGAACACTGTCTGAAGAATAATTTCAAAAATATATAGTAGAACGAATGGAAAATTTAACAATTTTATATGAGCAGAACAATGTCTGTATAAGTCGACTTCTACAAACTATGCCCGGTCTCCCGAGTGTAAAATCCCGCGTGTGACTGGAGGTCTCTCCGGGTAGTGGCGGTTATAAACGGATCCTCCAGGTGTAAAACCCTGCGTGGGGCCGGGAAGGCCGTCGCCGTGGACCAGCCCCCCAAGCCAAGCTGTGAGCTATCGAGGTGAGGGCTGCGTGGTACTGGGGGAGCAGTGGTCGATGCCACTGGGGCACCGGGCGAAACCCCAGAGTATTTAGCCTTACCCACGCATGCGGGGCTCTGCGTGGGCGGACCTTGTCGTTCCCTAGCTACTCGTGGGACTTGCATGGAGAGTACATTACAAAACATTCAAGACGAGATAACTGAGGGTCCGAAAGGGCACTTGGCGGAGGCGGCAGCAACCGCGCAAGTACGGGCTCGCGAGGGCTCGGAAAGCGAGGTGGTAGTTGCGGAGGTGGAGATGGCTCCCGCTTCGGAACGGGCCCCCTCGGGCTCGGAAAGAAACGGGAGTAAGGCGGGTGATGCAGGGACTCCTCACAAGAGGAACCGCAACGAAGCCCAGAAGAGAAGGGCGAAGAGGAACAGGGAGAAGGCTCTCGAAGGCAGTGTTGTTAGATGAGCCCCCTTTCAGTACATGCGCACTGCAGCGCTGGAGAAATCCAGGAATGTATAACGGTCATTCCGGAGGATGAAAGAGAAGAGTCCTATAGTTTTGGCGGAATCCGGCCAGAATGACAATTAGATGTAAGTAAAATAATATTTATACATATATTTGTGCAATATGGATTCCAATGTCGTTAAAGGAGCTATTAAAAAAACAAATTAATAGAACTTTTCAAAATTCTTGGTTACATGAAGACGTTTTTAAAGGATGGTTGGCTCCCTATTCCGAATTAAATAAAGCTCAATGTACCGCGAATAATGTCAGCATTAGGTGTTGTAAAACAAATTTGTTAAGACATTCACAAACAGTTAAACATGTATATGAGATGAAAGGTCGAAATCAAAGCCTCAAAAATAACAATAATATTTCATATAACGATAAAGTAAAAAGAGCGGAAATAAAATTAGCAGCATTTTTTACTGAGTACAATATTGTTTTTTGTACGGTTAATCATTTAATAAAACCTTTAATAAAAGATATTTTTTGAATTTCGCGAGGGTTTACCTCGTTCGGAAGATTACTCGAACGATCCGCTTTCTCCGAAATTAGTGATAATCGACGATCTTATGAAAGAATCGTCGTCGAGCGATGCAATCTGGATCTTTTTACCAAAGGCAGTCATCACAAAAATCTCAGTGTTATTCTTATCTCGCAGAATCTCTTCCATCAAGGCCATGGTCAACGCGATATATCCCTCAACGCGAATTACATCGTCGTTTTCAAAAATCCGCGTGATCGCGCTCAAATTCGTCATTTAGGCCGTCAAGTCTATCCCGACGATCCGAAATTTCTAGAAGAGGCATACTACGACGCTACGTCGAGGCTTCATGGGTATTTATTGCTCGATCTGAAACAATCAACTCCGAACGAATATCGATTTCGTACATGTATTTTTCCCGAAGATACGAATCATTACGTTTACATACCCCGTAGATCATTTTCGAACGAATTCGTATAAAAGACGGGTATGTGCGATAGTACGAGTCAGTCGTATGCTTTTCTCACGATGAAGGTGACTGACAAGAAATCACACAGTGCGACGAAAATCGCCACGCATTCGATCGGTAAAAGAAACGCCTGTCTTCTCGCTGCCCTCTATCATCTGAACAGAAATCAACGCACGACCTTTCTACGTGGCGCGTACGAAAAACTTATTCGTTGTATTTGCGAATGTGTTTTTAATACACTCGAAGGAAACGTCTCACTTGAACGATCCGAAAAAAAATGGTTAAGTAAATACAAAACGCCGCTGCGTCGCATCGCTGTAAAACGTGGAAATTGGAAGGAAGCTGCTGGTGCAGCGAGGCTGATTTTATGCGGATACTGCTGAAACATTTGCTTCAAAAAGCCGTACGATAGAATTAACTAGGATGAGCGCGGAATCGTGACTATAGAAGGTAACATCATGAAAGATTCTAATATCAGTGACTTGATAAACGACGCGATGCGCGAGAGAAAAACTGTGAAAGCAACGGGTAGAAATCAGTTTGCGCGATTACTCCGTGCGTTGAACATATCTTCCGCGCTAGTGAGAAATAAAGCATTATTATCCACGCACGGTGTTACTCTAAACAGCGTAAAACTTTGATCTCGTGCGAATTCCACGCCTTTTATATCGAAAACACGAGTTCCGCGTCGATTGTATCGAGAGCACGACAAAAGAGAAAAACGAAAAAATCGCAAAGAAGAAGAGGAAACAGACGACGAGCGCTCGCCGTTTCTTCCACGTACACGAAAAACTAATACCTCCGTATCTTCACAGATGAGAAAAAATCGGTTACTCGGTTGGAAAAAATAACGATGATGTTTGAAAAATTATACTACGATCCGTCGCATTATACGGGATATTCAGCGGTGGATAATCTAACTCGTGCTGTTAAACCGAATTTCTCACGGGGAGAAGTCGTACGCTGGCTCGAATCGCAAGACGCGTACACGTTGCACCGACCATTGTGCAGAAAATTTTCACGATTGCATTACAGCGTGACAAACATTGACGATGTGTGGAAGGGGGATTTGATCGAACTCCGAAATCTAAAAAGTTACAATGACGGTTATTCCTATCTGTTAGTGATTATCGATGTACTTAGTAAATACGTCTGGGTAGAACCGCTACGCGACAAAACGAGTAACTGCGTGATAAAAGCTTTTCAACGCGTACTAGTGAAAAGCGAAGGACGAGTACCCGTATACTTCCAAACGGACAAGGGTAAAGAATTTGTCGCGCAATCAATGCAGAAATTTCTTAAAGAAAACGACATTCGTTTTTAAGTAACGCGCAATCCGGATATTAAAACCGCCATAGTCGAGCGCTTCAACAGGACACTGAAGGAGCGAATGTGGCGTTATTTCACGCATAAAAATACGCGACGGTACATCGATGTTCTGCAGGACATTGTGCACGCTTACAATCACACGCGTCACTCGTCCACGAGAATGCAACCAGAGGTAGTAACGAGAGAAAACGCGCGAATCGCTCGTGAAAATATAGCTCGTCGTTGGAAAAAAACGATGAAACGTTAAAGAAACGAGGGTCCGAAACGATTAAATATCGTGTCGGGGATCTCATTCGCATCAGAGCGAAAGGTGCCTTCGAGATAGGATACGAAGCTAACTGGAGCGAGGAGATATTTCGAATTTATCGTATTCTCGATTGGCGAAAACCGCACGTGTACGAATTGAGCGATTCGGCAGACGAAGTCATAGACGGTATTTTTTATGAGCAAGAATTAGCTCGAGTTGAGAAAAACTTACAGGAAGAACATTTTATCGTCGATCGCGTGATAAAGAATAGAGGACGAGGAGCTAATAAGCAACTACTAGTTAGCTGGCGCGGTTATCCCAGCAAGTTTGATACTTGGATTCCTGTTTTGAGTTTAATTTCTCTTCGCGATGGAGGAGGAACAATTTCTTCTGGTTCTTCCGAGCAACAGTAGCATGCGTCATTTTCCGAATAATACAACGTCGTCCTTCATCACGGAATTACCTCACTCGAGTGTTGCACGGACAATGGGAAGTAGCGTTAAGTGAGATTCAATTTCCCTGTACGTTTTTACACGTACGTCATAACGAGAATATGATCAGATTCGTCGATGTTAAACCCGACGAGGGGGCGAGTGGTCCGTTTACGGAGAAAGAAGTTGCATTTCCAAATGGAATTTACAGCGATATCTATGAACTTATTGAGGCGATTAATACCACGTGTACAAAAGCCGAATCGCATTTCTATTTTGAACAGCA